GTTCTAGTTTCATTTTTTAAATTTTCAGACCAGCACCAAATCCATAAGTTAATAACACACCTAAATAAATAAAAAAAAAATATCAAACATTCAAAAAGTTCAAATTAGCAATCGTCAAAATCACAAAAATCCAAAGTAACAAATAAAATACAGTGATGATTCGAATACAAAATCAATTTTCATTCCCATACAAAAAATTGCTTCCTAAATAATAACAATGATTCACTAGATTAATTGTATTGATTTTGATGGCACACTCTCATAATAAAGGATGTATTATACAAAACTTTTACACTCCACTTTTACGGGCAGCCATTAACCGTTAATACTCAATAAATGTTTATTGAATTTTTCCATATTTGTGAAGAACATAAATAATTCATCAAACTGTGAAAAAGTAGTTTAAAGATTATTTAAATAACTCATCAATTTCATTTTTCAATCTTGAAAGAGTCTCCTCCACTGAAGTGATGAAATGTGGTGCCGACGTGCCGCAGTGTTGTGTAAATTGAAAAGGAGTGAAAGATAAACGATTCAAATGAATACAAAATTAGGATGTATACAAATAATTGACTGTCTCCAATTATTCGAATCAATTAATACACCGTCTCCAATTAATTGGTTGTCTCCAATGAATACAAAATTGGGGCATGCGCTAATTAATATTAAATAAAAATAAAAATTAAGTTTGGTTCTGGTTCTCGGTTCTAGAACTAAAATCGAACCGCTCAATTTGATTTGATTTGGACATTTTGTTCACCTCTAGTCTATGTGCGAGTGAACCTTACTAATTTTTGTTTAAAGAATTTAGACTAGTATCAAGCACGACAATTAGTGGTTAGTGGCAGCAGGAGGTGAGGGCCAGTTGGATCCCTTGTCTCATTGAAATTTAAAAATATTTTTACAAGCTTCTTATTATCTTACTTTTTATTTTTAATATTTTATTTTTGAAAATTTTTTTTTACACCCTCAGAGTCCTGACTCCGCTAAGGTCGATAATATCACATAGTAGTATTCCTTCTAGATTTCATATTAA